GCCTTCACATTGTCAATTGTGTCCGAGCTCTCCACCTCCAAGGTGATAGTCTTGCCTGTCAAAGTCTTCACAAAGATTTGCATACCACCTCTCAGACGGAGCACCAAGTGCAGAGTCGACTCCTTCAGGATGTTGTAGTCAGCAAGAGTCCTTCCGTCCTCTAGCTGCTTACCGCCGAAGATAAGCCTCTGCTGGTCCGGAGGAATCCCTTCCTTGTCTTGGATCTTCGCCTTGACATTGTCAATGGTGTCTGAACTCTCCACTTCGAGGGTGATAGTCTTCCCTGTCAGAGTCTTGACAAAGATTTGCATACCACCGCGAAGACGAAGGACAAGGTGGAGGGTCGACTCCTTCTGGATGTTGTAGTCAGCAAGAGTCCTTCTGTCTTCGAGCTACTTACCGGCGAAGATAAGCCTCTGCTGATCCGGAGGAATCCCTTCCTTGTCCTGGATCTTTGCCTTGACYTTGTCAATAGTGTCGGAGCTTTCAACTTCGAGTGTGATGGTCTTGCCAGTCAGAGTCTTGACAAAGATCTGCATGCCACCTCTCAACRTGAGAACCAAGTGCAAGGTTGATTCTTTCTGGATGTTGTAATCGGCCAAGGTACGGCCATCTTCAAGCTGTTTACCGGCGAAGATAAGTCTCTGCTGGTCCGGAGGAATTCCTTCCTTGTCCTGGATCTCCTGTCTATCATCTTCTGCGATGATCTATATGTTTTTTATTGTATTGCATTTCAATTATCTTGTATTAACTTGAGAGGGTGCTTAATTCCTTCCCGTTGTACTCTGATCGGTTAAATTAATGAGAAAAGATTGTTGACAAAAAAAAAAAAAATTGAAAACGAAAAATGAAAGCGAAGTTTGAAGCTCTATGGCTTGAAGAAGCACTATGGCTTAAAAGAAGCTCTATGGCTTGAAGAAGCACTATGGCTTGATAAAAACAACAATAAAGATTTGGAAGCACGTAGGCTTAAGAATTAGACGAATAAGAAAAACAGAGTTTGAACTAAACTCGAGCATAACCTGCTCTGCTACCATATTAGATGTGATGAAAGTTTAGGATTGGAAGAATATTATATTTACTCTCATAATGATGAATGTACAAGGTGGTTACACTTATATAGGAAACGTTAAACCTAATATATAATTAATATAATCACATAAAGATGTACACAAATCAATATAATTATATTTTCATAATAACGATGAAAATATAATTATATAATATTTTCATAATAACAATATAATTATAGGGTCATTAATGACCTTGTGAGTTGTCTTATGCCTACATATGCCTCTGTCTTAAAAAGAACATTTCTTCTGTCTTTTTGAGTTTGTAAATTCGCTTCATCGTGCGTAATTTTGCAGACTAATGAGCCTTTTTGCATTATTCTTGCATTACCGGCATGTGCCCATGAAGTATGGAGCCAAACACGTTTTGTCACGTTTGGATTGCGGTAAAAGCACAGAACACAAGTACACAACTCGCTTACTCTTCAATCCTTTTAATTCCTCTCCAATTTATTTGTTTTTATATTAACTTTTTATTCCGGAATAATACAATTGTTAATTTTGAGAAAGTTAATTCATAATC